CCTCAACTATTTGAAATGGCACAAAATTACCTTCCATCTACCTTTTGTCCCCCAAATATGCACGATATCAATCTTTTGGCTCAATAATACCCTTATTTCTAACTGTCCACACTCATAAAGTGGATGAAGGGTAAATTTATACCAAATATCAAAGTTTAAGGGCATTTTAGGCCCTTTTCCATTAAAATAGTTTGAAATTACTTCATATATCGGCTCATATGTTTTGCCTGATTTTTTTCGTCTTGGATCTTGTCCACCTTTTTATATTTTAATTTTTTTTCAACTAATGATAAATTAAACAAGGGAGAAAAAAGAAGAAAAATAACAACGACATTCATTTACGAATAGTTAGTTCAATAAAAGAATATTTAATTAAGCAACTATGTATACGTATACTGTAATTTTTCTTTTCCGTCTATCCAAAATTAAAAATAAAAGAATGAAAATAACTTTTTTTGCTATCCCTACCCAACATAAAAATAATATAAAAAGAATACGAACATGTATGTTCATTTCAAGTTTGAATCCTTGATATCTTCATTAAGAATAAGAGACTTTTTTTAAAAAAGAAGAGGGAAATGAACAAAACAATTGGATAATTGATAGAAAAAAATATATTAATAAATAATATTAATATTTTTTTAGACTGACAATCAAACCGGGCAAGTATCGATTTTAGTTAGATCTTCAATTATAAACTGGGCTATATTAAATTGCGGGTTGATTTGAAATAGGTTTATAAGAAGATATCATGAAATTGATATTTTTCGGAATACTATTTTCAAACTTTTTGGGTCAAAATATGAATCATATGTAGTTTTCATTACTTATTTGAGAAGGGTTTAAATTGAGATCAATCAAATGAGGCAACATAATAAATAAATATTCAATAAATTTCCTTTCGAGGAGTTGTTAAAAATAAGGGAAAATATGAGCCACAAGTTTACATCAAGGTTATTTTTTAGCCAAAAGGTTAACTTCATGTGTAATTGAAGCTCGAAAGATGGATGGAGGGTAATTTTATGCCAATTCAAATAGCTGAGGGGGCATTTTAGACCCTTCTCCATAGTATTGAATATTTAAATAATTATATATTTTATAAATTTTCAATTTATAGAGGGGCAAAAACATAATCTATCTTTGAAGTTAGGATCTTCCACTAATAACGAGGTATATAGCACTCCTTATGGTTGAGCACATGGTGATAGTGTAGTTGTTTGCTTCTTGTACAAGTATAGGAATAATAAAAATCCAACTCTATATAGGGTTCTGCTCTAAAGTCTTAATTATGCTACTCTCTTGCTCCAACAGCAAGTTAAACAAAATATTTGGACTCCAAGGTTAAAATCAGTGGTACAAAGCAATGTATCAAATCAATTTTATGATGATAGTATTCGGACGCGCTTGCACATTCCACTGTGTAGTTGTTATCTCCCATATGTATAGGGTAACTTTGTAATCAATGCTTAAGTATATTGGAATCATCCAATGTCTTTTGCTTCCGACTAAGATTTTGAACTTGCAACGTACCAAAGTTAGCGGTAAATTGTAATGATCCAGAAAATAACTTCATGAAAACCATTGTCAAAAATTTGAAGAACTAAAAGAATCCTACATAATATTAGAAATGTAGTAGGGTATGGACTACCACAATATTTGTTAATAGTAGCAAATTGAGCACTCAACTAGGATTCCAGAAATATAGAAGATATAACATATAGACATAATCATTAGAAAATATGGTTGCGCATCAAATCCATCAAGAAGAATCACAAGCACAATAACATCCATATACGGATATATCAGTCTAACAGATACGCTCAAGTAAATCTGAGCAGTATTGCTAAAGGTAGAAAACCAATAACACGTTTTATTTGATTCATTAACTTATATTTCAATTTATGTTTTTATGATGACACTAATCCTAAATGATCTGTGAAAAATCAAAATAAAACTAAGACATCCAAAATCTGTGAAAAGAAGGCATAATTCTAAGAAAGGAAATAACACACTTCCAGAATAAGGAAGATTGACAAACAAGTATAACAGAATCAAGGATATTGACTCGCGTAAAGATGGAAATAAGAAGAGCCAGCAATATACCACAAGGAAAGACACTCTACCGAAATCAAAGGATGAATGACTTGTTTAGTTTCAACAAGTATTTTGGTACTTGGGGACAATAGGAAGCACTAAAATAGACAAAACTTAAAGCAAGATAACCGCATTTACACACACTGAAATATCTTGCGTAGATACAGATATTCAAGTGAAAGTGATAGATAAACATAAAAAAAGATGATGACAACGTAGAAAAAGTTACCAGTTTTCCTTTCTGAATGCATCTTGAATGCGGACTCCTTTCTTAAGCAGTTATGATTATCAAATTGGTCATTGTGGTAGCTGTAAACCTTAGATTGAAAAAATATAGCATTATAAGGAAACAAAGACAATTTATCAATTAGCTATACCTTTTCCTTTATTGATTCCATAAGATGCAATAAATCTTTTCCTCTCCTTTTTTGTGAGCCACGCAAAACACAAATACTAACATTCAAATTCTTTTCGATGTTTGCACGAGAAGCAACATAAGTGCAGATGTTTAAAAGCTTCACAACATATGAAACAAAATTTGACTTCGAATCACAGTATCAACAGAAATACTCTGCATCTAAATTAGTGCTTTCTCCGACTGTCCCAACCATGTTAGCCTGTAAAGCACAGTCTGTTGACACCCAATTTTGACCTCACATTTTTATAATGCATACTTTTAAGTTTTATTCATTCAATAGTTCAAAATACATTTTTTTTTATAAATTTCATTACATTTATCGATACTTTTCCTTATTTCTCAAATCTTATGATTTTTATAAATTAATTTTGATTACAATATTTTTGTCACAGTGAGTTGAGTATGTTAAGAATTCTGTCTCTATTTGATTAAATCATTATTCTTTGTTAAATTATTTTTTACATGTCATTAATTACTTTTTGCTAATATTCATTTTAGTATTTTTAAAATAGTCTAAAAATATATTGATACACACCTATTTTATTAACCAATAATTTTGGGCCATGGTCTTGAGCCCATGGTTTAAGCCCATTATAATGCATAAATGTGCTTTGTTTTCAATATGTCTTAATTAGTGGTAAAATAATTTTCATTGTGGTGTGAAATTTTAAAAATTGACAAAACCCTGAAAGCTTTCTCTTCCATTTTTTCTCTCTCAGTCGCCACCACCACCAAGCTCCAAACCCACCGGCAAAACAAACACCTGAAACCCCAACCAATCCACATTTATTCTCACGGTTTTCAAGAAGGTTCAACCAAACAGACCCCCCCCCCCCAATCTCAAGACCATCCCTCCCATGGCTCTCCTACTCCAACAAAACCCACACCTAGCCATCACTAAAAAACCTCGACAACCACCAAAATCCCCCATTCTCTTCATCTTCTCCGGTGAAGTAATGACACCGGAGAACAGCCAACCCGAAGCCACCTCAATTCCACGACAAAACCCAAACCAAATCCACCCAAAACCCCAATAAATCCATCAGAAACAGACCCACACCACCACTGCCTCCCTTCATCTTTCCCATTTTCATGTCTTTTTTTTGTTTTGCAAGAAGTCAGCAAGTTCAAATATGCAGCATAGCTTTGTCAGACAACAACCAACATCACCACATCGAGCAACCAGACCCCGCCGCAAATACCATCGGCGAACGCTATCCGGATCACTGCCTTGGTTTCATCTTTTTTGGTGACTCTGGTATCTCTATTTTTCTTTGTTTTATATTACTTTTGTTGTTAGGTTTTCACTTCAACCTTGTGTTTCTCCAATAAACTCAATAAATATTGGGGTGCCTTGATTTGGTTCAGTCTATTTTAGATGTTGTTTCATTCTTGTTATGTTGTCGTATGACTGATTATTGTTGTTAGTAGGTTGGTTTTGCACAATTTATTTTTTCCATTAATTATTATGTCATTCACCACTAACTTAGTAACTTTTGTTATTATTTTGAACTATTATTATATTGTTTAGTTAACTGTGTGTTTATGTTTTCTACAAATTATGTGTCAATGCTATTATTTGATTTTGTTTTATCATTTTGTCTAGTTTTAAAAATTAATTATTATTATACTGCCATGTTTCATTCTCAGAAAATGTGTCTATTGTTTCAGATATGTTCATTTTCTCATTATTTTTTAGTAGTTGCTTTATTTTATTCACAATCTTGTTACACTTTGATTTTGTTCCTCCATGAGTCATTGTGTTTACTGTTTGTTAGTGATTGCATATTATTTTATCTTTGTAAATTTGATATGATTTTGAATTTGAAATTATTATAAAAAATGACCAACCTATTGTTGTTAGTAAGTTGGTTTTGCACAATTTCTTTTTTCCATTAATTATTATGTCATTCACCACTAACTTAGTAACTTTTGTTATTATTTTGAACTATTATTTAATTATTTAGTTAACTATGTGTTTTATTTCCTATATTTTTTCCCAGCTGGTGCCCTCAAGATTAACAAACATGTGACTTACTTTGTTCATAATTCTTTAGTTATTCTTTTTTTTAAAGAAATAATGTATTTCAAAACATTTTTAATTTTTATATATGATTAGAAAGTTTTTCAAAACTTAATGAGATCTTTTTATGATTTAATAGGTTTAGAATAATAAGGAAACACACATTTGAGAATATGAGGGGCTAATATCTTTCACATAATTAATTTATTATGACATATTTAGGGGTGTTTATGGTCAATGACATGGAAGAGCACGGAAAGCATGTTGCTATTGACTGAAGAATGAATAATAGACTATAAAATTGAGTATCTTATACTGTGCATACATGTCACAAGCTAATTCCTCGATTCATGATGGCGCCTGCTATAACCCACCAGTAGGCAAGACAACCCGTATCCCGAAACTACAAGTAAGGGGATTGAGGGCTAACTAAAACAATAACATAAATCATAGATGAACAAGAGGAAGCAAGCCAAAACATATATACAAATAAGAGATTCCTCCCAGAACCTGAAAGTCACAGCTACAAAACTACTAACAAAATGAGTACAAGTCCCAAAAGTGGACCATAGAAATAAGACTTCCTTAAAAAGTAAAAGACAACTCATATATATAGATGGAAACTTGTATAGCATAAAAAGCCAAGTGCTCACCCCCGTCTCCGAATCAGACTGTTGTAGGCTCGATGTCAACGCTGGTCGCTGGTGCTCAGACCTGCATCACGAAAACAGATGTAGAGTGTAGTATGAGAACCAAACAAACAGGTACCCAGAAGGCCTCGTAGGCCGACTAAGGAAGAAAAGCAAAAGTAATATGAAGTTCGAGAATCTAAAACACTATCATAAACAAGAAAGAGAAATCTAACAGGTATGAACACGAGTGTACTAACATACAAAGAAAAGGAGAATAACTAATTTAATCTGACTGGGCTCTCGTAAATCTGAAGGTTACACTCGCGCGCAAGGTAAAAGTAAAACCCGTGCGCATTCCCATAAGTCTGACATGTACAAGGAAGAGTATAGAATGGAATAAGAGGACACGACGAAGTTTCCAAGATTTCCACAACTTTCCGCGGACTCGAACCAAACTAATCCATATGCCTGAAGTTCATCCAAAACTGATAGGGTTTAAGGACATGAACCGAATTGAAGATTGAGGATCAAGGACTTGAACCAAGATTTGGAATAACCTAGGACTTGAACAAAGGCTAAGGATAATCGTGGACTAGAACCACGTATTAAGTAGCTATGCACTTGAACCGAGATGTAACGAGCAGTGTACTTGAACCACGACTGCAAATGGTGGTGGACTTGAACCACCGCTAAAGAAAGCCAGGATTCACTACAAGAAATCTGACATATTGTGGCGCCAAAAGTCGCTACAAAAGGCCAAAAAGTCGCTGCTAAACACATATAGTGGCGACCTTATGGCCGTGGCAAGTACTTCCATAACTAAAAGTTATTAGTGACGACAATTGATGTCGCCACAAAAAGTGCATATATAGTGGCGACATAATCGCCTCTAAAGGTAAGCAAATATCCGTAGGAGGATGGCATTTAGAGGCGACTTGTTTTCGCCACTATAACTATTATAGTTTTAGTGGCAAGTAACTTCGCCACAATAACTGAATATTAGTGACGACCTTAGTCGCCACAGATACCCTTTTTGTTTTGAAAAAAAAATATGCAGCCATAATATTTTTAATTATACTTGCACAATATATTACACAAGTCAACAACCTATTGAAAATAAAAGTGACAACTAGAGATATTTCCCAAACAATGATACTGGAAACTTTCATAACTCATAGCATAGAGTAATTGTGCATAGTGCATACACATGAAAAGCACATTAAACATAAAAAAAATGTTCCTTGTCTAAAATAAATTCCACCTTGAATGCAAGTAACAACCTCTCAGCTCCTCAGCAAGTGTTACTCCTTTATATTGTTCCATAGAAAGGTACATCATTATTTTTTAGGCATACTTCAAACAGAACAGCTACTACCTACAAAAAAAAATCAAGAACTACTATCAGACCATTCTTTTAGAACATGAACAACATATCTCCCACCATTCAAGGTACACCTGCCACTGTTTCCAACAACATTGCACGACAATCATATTTTTTCTACAATACAAATCAGAGATTACGTACAATCGATGGCGACAAGAAGGTATTTGATATAAAAGCAACTCAAGGATTAATGTTGCAGTGTCTGTGAAGCAATAACTTGAATCACTTCTCCTGTACATATCAAATTATATGTTCATCCTAGTATACTAAGCACAGATCTTTAAAAAGTGTCAAAGGTTTACATATGCAGAAAAACTGATATTGCCGAATGAAGAATTATCATAATGGAATCCTCATCTTAACATTAAATGATACAAAACTAGTTCTTGATTTCAAGAGGAAAACAAAATTTGAACGACCCAATTTAAACAAAAGAAACAGATTGTTTTGCCTACTTAAAAATATCGAATTCAATTCCAAAAACATGCTAAACAAGACCTAGTCTTTATGTTGAAACCTCTTAGAAGATAAAAATAAAATATAGACAAATTAATGATGTCCTCTATTCCTTCCTTTGTCTCATGATGGATTATTCTCATTTCAACAATAAGATAAGCTACATATTAACATATTTTTCATTTAAACAAACTCAAAAAATGATGTAATTACAATAGCTACAGCTACAAGAATATGAGTGATCACCAATGACTATCAAGCTAAACATTGATAATCACACTTACTTAAAACAAAAACAAAGATATGTGGAAACAAAATTAAAACAACATAAGCATTTGAAATGGATTTTACACATGGTGAAAGCTTTAACAAACAATCACCCCATAATACTCAACTTTATGAGAGTAAAATATAAGCACAAGTAAAAATTTTATGTTTTAAAAATCAGAATTCAGATTTTATAAGAAAAGAAAAACTGCAATAATTTTTTTAACGACAAGTTGGTCTTCTTAAGAACTAGAAGAACAATGTTTTAGAAGTGAGAAATTTCAGATTTAAGAACAATTAAATCAACTTCATTTTAAAAACATCTTGAATAAATTTCCAAACTACCTTGTTAAATAAAGGGGAGAAACTGAACGTAGAACTAAACATCTCAAAAGAAAATAAAATTACAAACGAGAAACAAATTTGAGTCTGAAAAAGAAGAAAGCAGGTTTGAAAATCATTTAAGAGGCTAAAATTGTCTCAAAATTAACCCAATATATGAGCTGAATATATGACTTAGGAAGAATCTTATATTTTAAAGAAAAATGAATTTTAAAGGGACAAACACCTATTTGTAGCCTCACAACTTTAAATACCAAACATGTTGAACCTTTAAGTATTAACCAACTAGTCAACATCATGAACATTACTCAACAACAATGACTTAATATTTAATCTAAATTCAGAACGGAAAGTGACAATTTGATCATACTTAGCTCTATTTTCGATTAAAGAAGGCAAGACATAAAGTTTTCATTTCTTAAAAATTATTTTGTTTGACCTACAACTACTGCTAACATAGGAATTAACAATAGGCTAAAGAAAGGAAAACAAAGGGAGAACATATTAATAGCTAACCTCATGCTTTCATAAAAAGGAAAATTGGTTATATAACTCAAACAAGATTATAATTAAGTTAATCTACATGAAATAGAAACTGAGTAGAAATGAACATAATAACACTAAAACAGGGGTAACATTACTTATGTAACTCAAACAATGACTAAACTAAACTAAAGTACGCTAATTTAGACACACATATAATACGCAGAACTAAAACTACTAAGACAAGATGCAAATTACACCTAAACAGAAGTAAAACCATGCAAACATGAAACTTAAACTATTCTAATACTGAAATATAAACAAACAATATATAAGTAAACAAATTGAAAAGGGGATAAGATTACCTCTCTAGGGCACCAAATTGAGACACCGAGCTTGATGATCACCCCCACAGCAAATCACGAATTGTATACATGAAAGAAAATTAAAGGAAGAGTGAAAGATTTTTAGGTCAGACAATTTTTTATGCCCACTCTGTAATAACATTGTTCTTGACCTTAGATACTGTTGTTTGGAATGAAAATAATACGCAATTCTAGGATTCGAATAAAAAACAATCAATTTGGGGCAGATTTGGACTTATAAATCCGTTCAGAAAAACTCTTCCAGTAGAAGTTTTGTACGAAAATTCAAAATGAAGTGTTTAAAAGGTAAAAAAGAAAGTGAAGAAATACCATTTTGAGATCGTCCGTCGAAACAAGCTTTTGGACAACCAAAGTTCGTAAGATGCGTATGAAGAAATCCAACTTTTGACAAGTCCTTCATCGTACAAGGTGAGTTTTCATTGGGTTTTCCCAGATCTGGATGGTAACATGGATAATTTTAGAAGTGATTGTGGGAGTTGAGAAATTGTGGCATTATAATATAACATCTAAAATGTGGCCAAATAAATACGATTTTGCAATGAAAAGGAGATAATTAATTAATTAAGCTTTAAAATTTAATAGAGTAAAACAACTATATACAAAAATAGATTAATTATAGTTATTAAATCATAAATGACCTTTATTTTGACAAAATAAAATACATGCTTGACTAATTTTTTATTTTATTTTTGAAGTAAATTAATTCTCAAAATTAATAATAATAATAATAATAATATATATATATATTTCAAAATTAATAATAATAATAATAATATATATATAAAAAGTAACTTGGTTTTTCGTAAATATTTGTTTCACCTTTATGAGATTAAAGAAACTTCACTAATTAATTAAATGAGAACGAAAATAATAAATAATAGGTGTGATCAATAGAGGGTATTTTTATTATCATCATTGAAATTTACTTTTATATATATTTCAAAACTTAATAAAAGATGTTGTTAAACTAATTATTTGTGTAGTACGTAGAGTAAATATTATTGGACATGTCAAATTACTCCATGTACTTGTGAATACTTATTTAAAATATGTGATTAGATTTATGTAATAATAAATATTTATTTATCACAAATACGTCTTTATAACTATTAATAAAAAAACAAAATTACATATAAAACATCTTTAAATTTTTAATAAGAATTGATCTATATACTAATTAGACTAAATATCAAAGAAAATAATTAGTTGTTATTGCAAAAAAGATGCTTTTAGTGGCGACCAAAAACTTGTTGCAAGAGATAACTTTTAGTGACGACGAAGTCGCCACAAAATGTATCTTTAGGAGCGACAATATAAAAATCGCCACAAATATGTTTTCTTCCATGATTCAATAGAAAAAAATAGAACATTTTGTAGCGATCTAACCAAAGTCGCCACTATATGTCTTATTTATAATAGCAACTACACGGGTCGCCCCTAAAACTTTAAGCTTTTGTGGCAACCATAAGAGGTCGCCACAAAAACCTTATATTTTGTTGCAACTAAATGTGTCGCCACAAAAGGTCGTCACAGAAAATGATGTTTCTTGTAGTGATTTGAACCAAGGCTATAGGACCAAGGGGAGGACTTGACCCACGAATAGAGGTGAATCGGGTAGAAATAGGATAGGCTGCCTAACTATCATCACGGGGAGTACCCCCAATCCGAGTGTTATCAATAAATCACTCTAGCCCGAACAATATCCTACCAGAACCGACGAGTAGCTTCCACACCAAGAATTAGAGATACTGGAACTGACAGAAATAGAGGATTTACGAATATATGGTTCAAAGAGCAGTGTTACTTCCTAGCTAAGGCCCAAACTATTAGAATGAGGTCTGCTACATCAATCTACAGGGAGCTAAGCCGTCAGAAGTGACGTTGGGGGATATTACAAGGCCTAACAGCACCTAAAGGACACATTTCTATGGCAATAACTAGCCTAAGCCAGGATTAAGGCCAAACATGCTCCAACAATATTTACGAATCACAAATATGGCACACCACAAGGTGAGGATGATCAAAAAATACAATAGACATGCTTCAACCGCCCGAAAACTTGATAAGTAGCCTAAATATTGGATTCTAGGAATTTAACATGATTAACCACCAACTCAACCCCAAATTCAATCAAATCAACATACAATTACTTAATCATGTTGATCCTATGGAAAGGGAAGTTGTAGCCTACTTGCAGGCCAACCGGGCTCGCACCAGATCACGTTGTCGGAGCTTTTATCTTCTGCACGACCTCAGAACTCTACAACACTATAAAAATAGAATCACAAAGTCAATACAGTCATTTTGACACAACAATCATATTTTTCAGAGACGGATCCAAAAATCGGGTCATACACGGGATTGTGGAACCCGCACCGGGGATCCCGAAATTGACTTTATGAAAAGGTTCATTAAACCTCCCACAATTGTGTCACAAAATTGAATAAAATTTCGGACTCGAAATAGCTCGGAATCAGCCCATGCATTTAAATCACCATTAAAGCTAAAGAAGAAAAGAGGACAACAACTAAAACTCGACAATTACCTCAAACAGAGGTACCCCCCCTCCCCACAGTCCTCGAGCATGCCAATGCGTAGCCACGCCAATTTCGAGCAACCCAACCTTTGAATCACCCAAAATAGAGCTAAACTGAGAGAGAAATCACGTTTAGAAAATGAGGGTTGAATGCTGATTTTCAGCTTTAAATAATGGCAGATCTAATCGCTAAAAGGACTTCTGGTTGCTAAAAAGACATTTTCTAGTCACTAAAAGACTGCACCGATTTTTTTCTATTTTTTTCCAAAGTCTCCTAATGGACCATCAAGATTCATTTGGGATCCGATAAAAATAAACCAGATATGCTACCCCACTAAATTTGACATTCTAGACTCAATGGAATTGTCGGATTTCCGTAAAAATATTGTTATGATAGAAATACCCCTTTGGGACCTATTAGGCCTAAGACTAAACGTTTTGCCTAAACACCCAAATATCAAAAAGAAGAACTCAAGACCCAACCGAATGGTCCAACTAGACCAAATTCAACATTCTTGAGTTAACAGCACTGACAGAATTCTCATACGACAACTTATTCTCCGAATGTTGACCAAAGTAAACTCTAGGACTTTAAGCTTTACAACATCTCTTCCAAGTGCTCAATCCCACACTCGAAGCCTGAGGCCCTAAACTAAAGATCCTTCTAGACCAAATTTGACATTCCGGAGCTAACTGCATTGATGGAATTTCAATCCGAGCACGTTTACCAAGAATGTTGAACAAGGTCAAACTTAGGCCAAATCTCAGAAGCTAAAATGCCTAATGGCACAATCTCGCGCTAGAAGCCTCAGTATTCGAACAGACCATGCCAGTAGCCTAAAATGACCATTCCAGAGTTGATGAAACCGTCACAATTCTATTCTGAGGATTTTTACCTAATGTTCTGACTAAAGTCAACTATTCAAGTTTCAAAAGCTCCATAATAGGGAAACTGGCATAAAACCTAAACAAACGATCAGGCTACTAAAGAGTTAGTGCCAACAAGTCATAAATGACTTGGGGTCACTATAGGAATGCTCTAAACAACGAAAAGAAGGCATTAAGCCGAAAATGAACTTGAGGGTCATTACAATGCACATGTACTAAACAATAGAGTAAGTGTGTGTGTGTATATATATATATATATATATATTTATATACACACACACCCATGAAAGCTCTAACTATAGGAACTTTCTTTTGTGGGTGATTTATGTAGTTAGGAACTTCATATAATAGCAATAATGTTCAATATACTATATAATGAAATAATAAAAATTATCTAAATTTATTTTTATGGTAAGATATAAATATTTGTTTGATGAAATATAATATTGGTCTATAAGAAGATAGCCAGTATATTTATGATCTTATTCATTAAGAAAATAATTATTGTTGTCTTTTCACTTTAGATTCAACAAAAAATTATGCTAGGAACTTTATTAAAAGAAATGTGCTTTTACTAGATTACAAGAAAATTAAAATTTTAGAGAAAAAAATATATACAAAAGAATTGAGAAAGCATGCAGGAATTTGCAGCTTACTATTATTTAGGCTTTACCTCTTGAACATGCTAAATTGAGATAAATTTGACCTTCTGGACTATTCATGCCGAATAAAAGTACAACCAATAAAATTTATATACTTTTACATACCTGAAAAAAAGGAAAAAACATAAGAGTATAGTAATAAAAGAATATGCATTGTGAGAGGCCGCAAAAATTATAATAACTTCAAAAACATAATTTCACTACAAGATAAACTCATGCTTATATCAAGTAAATAGAATTACAAATGAAGCAACAAAACTACATCAAAATATTACAAAAAGATGAGAAATACGAAAAAGTTACCTAACAAATGGATATTGTGTAAAAAGGAATGACAAAATCAGTAATGCACGTCGAAAATGAATTGAAAAAAAGGAATCGTGATATGCCAACCAAAGCAAGAATTTTGTCAAAAGAGTATATAATTCATACTCTTGCAAGGCTTAACTCTAGGAACTTTCTTCGGTGGGTGATTTACGTAGTTAAAACTTCATATAATAGCAATAATGCTCCATATACTATATGGTAAAATAATAGAATTTATCTAAATTTATTTTGATGGTGATATATAGATATTTCTTTTGTTAAATTTAATATTGGTCCATAAGAAGATAGCCAGTATATTTATTTGCTTATTCTTTAAGTAAATTATAATTTTTGTCTTTTCACTTTAGATTCACCAAAAAACTATGCTAGGAACTTGATTACAAGAAACACGCTTTGACTAGATTACAAGAAACTTAAAATTTTAGAGAAAAAAGTTATGTACAAAAGAATTGAGAAAGCATGCAAGAATTTTGCAGCTTACTATTATTTAGGTTTTACGTCTTGAACATGCTAAATTGATATAAATTTGACCTAATGGACTATTCATGTCGAATAAAAGTATAAGCACTAAAGTTTATATATCCTTTTACATACCTAAAAAATAGTGAAAAAATAAGAGTATAATAATAAAAGAATATGCATAGTGAGTGGCAACAAAAATTATAATAACTTCAAAAACATAATTTCACTACAAGATAAACTCATGCACATATCAAGTAAATAGAATTACAAATGAAGAAACAACACTACATCAAAATATTACAAAAATATGATAAATACTAAAAAGTCACCTAACAAATTGATGGGTTGTCAAAGGAATGACAAAATCAGCTAAAAATTTCTTCCTTCTATATTTTCATCCCAAAAATCATGCTACATTCATTGCAAATTGGCAGTACTTGATATGAATGAATACAAATATATTGGTGCAATTAAGTTGAAAACACAAAAGGTAGAACAATTTTCTAAAATATGAAATACATTAACTGGTATTTTAATAAGAGTAGACAAATAGACCTAGCTACATTATTATAA